CCCCCCCATCGAAAAACCGAAAACCTACGACCGACCCAGCACACCCCTCACGCTCCCCTTAATCACCTGGCTCCCCCTAACACTAACCTCGCCAATGCCCGTATCGCCTCCAGACCCTCCGTTCAACCAGCGCTGGAGTAACGCATTACTCTCCATGGGCTTGATACCTTGATCCGCCGTCCCAACCGTGACATGCGCCATGGGGTTCACCGTCTCAAACAACAACTCCTCCGTCGTTGTAGTACCCGCGGCACCATCATCTACCTGTAGCGTACTAGATCCGTTCAACCTGACAACAAAACACATGATGCGATCGTCCCACACCACTCGCTCAAGCAAGACGTCACATGTACCTAGCTCCGGCTCCCAGGCGCCGCTCGAGCTTGTCTTCTGGCAGGCGTCGTGCAGTTTGCCGAGTTTATCCCAGTACTCTTGGTTTTGGGGTGCAGATGCGCGGTGGATGAGTGTGACGTGGAATTCGTTCTGCACACGCCGGGTTTGCTTGAGTTGCTTGTACATGCGTGCGGTGTTTGCGTCTTTGTCGTTGAACAGGGAATCGAGGATGGAGTTTATGCGAGCAGTGTCGAGGCGGACGGAGAAGTATTCCATGCGTGGTGCTTTCTTTGGCTTTGCAGGTTGAGCTTGCTGGTTATTGGCTCCGCGTTGTTGGCTATTTTGTTGGTTTTGGTTGTTACCTCTCTTGTCGTTCTTGTTGTTTGAGAGGTCCATCTTGAAATCGGGTGTGTAGTCGTTCATGGCCCATTGGATGGCAGCGTCCATATCGGGGTCAGTTGGCATGTCTTTACCGGCGAACAGAGCAGGATACGTCTCGAACATCTTGCTGATGATTGTCTCTAGGTTCTCGCGCGAGTCGACGGTCGGGTCCAGGTCGATGACGAGATCGAACAGATCGTCCGGCTTGCCTGAAGGGTCGACTGGCTGGAAGCGATACATGAAGCCCTCCATGATCTGGACAATTTCATCCCTGCCTTTCGAGCCTGCTTGAATAGTCTGGTGATTGTCTCCACGATCGAGCACACGCGTCTGTGTTGCCTGTCGAATGCGGTCGTAGTTGGATCGATCGTGAACATAGTGCAGTGCGACGAACCGGACGTCAGGCACGTTTTTCGAGATATCATTGAAGATCTGGTCACGCTCGCGTTTCTGATGGTTGTTGCGATCGGCAATGACGACAGGATTTGTGACCAGCAAAGAAGAGATGGTGTCTGCGAAGATTTGACCACGTCCCTTCTTAGCCTTGACGTTGTCGTTCTGGAAATGACCCCAACCAAACAATTTCACCAGAGCGAGAGCTAGAGTCGTCTTTCCGCATCCAATCGTTGCAATAGGAACGAGCACAATATTTCGGTCCGCTTTCTTGCTCTCGACGGGCCCGTTCTGCATTTCCTGCCTGATAATGTCTGCACCAGTCGTCCCGCGGAATTTGAGGAAGTCGTCGCGCATCTTAATGATGCCATGATTCGCGTTGTACTGCTTTGCCAGGTCCTTGTTCTGGGCAAACTGCCGTCGGGCAAAGTCCAGATACTCCTTGGTGATGGCCTCGTGCTTCTTGTAGCGTGGTGGCTTGCCAGCGATCAGAGCCCTGGTGCACTCACGCCACTGGCGGTACATGAGGTACGGCTCTTCGAACTTGTACTTGAAGAACCAATCTACATATGGCGCACCCTCAGACTCGCGTGCCTGGCAGCGGATGACGAAACCCTCTGTGTCGCGGCCTTCGTAGTTGCCCGTTTCTGCGACCTTCTCCAAGAACTTCTTGACCTCTTTGATGTCGTTCTCCGTTACGTATGTGACCTTCTTCATACCCCACTCGTCCGCGAACTTGTCGACGAGATGGCCTGGATACGTTGCGAACTCGGGCAGGTTTAGGTTGATACCGTGGATGTATAGACCAGCCTGGTCTTTGGTGTATGCTAGGACGTGCTCCTCGAAGTCGTCGTCGCATAGCTCAGCCACGAGTGTCGCGTTCATGGATCGAAGCGTCCGAGCAAGATCCTCCTTCTTCCTGCCAACACTCGTGACATGGCGCTCCACCCACTGCTCACCTGCCTGGGCATGGCTGAGCTCGTCGCCTCGTGGACCAGTCGAGTGTTTGCTGCACACCAGTAGCGTGTCATCATCTAGACCAGACACGAAGATGATGCAGCCATTCTCCTTGACACTCAGCTCGTATGGACCCTGAGTATGTTGCTCCACGTTCCTCCACTCAGTCTTCCTAATCTCACCGTGGTTGAAGAACTTGTCGTACCCTCTTGTGACAATCTCAAAGTTGCCTTCCCGGTTCTTGTATGTAAACAGTCCTCGGGCGTATGTCGGAAGGTTCGCTTTCTTATAGTCCCAATCGTTCATCTTCCATGAGTCGACGGTCCGGCCATTGGGTAGCGAGAACGTGTGTTTCTTGACCGAGAAGCCGCCATTGCCCTTCTTACCCTGGTGCGCTTCGAGAGCATGAACCAGGTTTGTAATCTCTTTGGGATCCTGGGGCGCATACGGTGCTTGATCGCGGTGCGCCATGATCGCGGTCGTTCGAAAGGTGCGTCGTGAAGTAGGTGAGGCGCAAGCAAGGTTTCGCAGTGGACTGAATATCTGAAGGACGGCTACGGGTAAGCGAAAAGTGGTGCGTGGTGGAATGCAAATGTGTGCAAGCGGGGACAATGTTTTAAGAGCGATCATTCGGTCAGGCAGCAAACAGAAAGGCAAGACAAAGTGCGCAGTAGCGGTGAGTCAACATTGGATGAGCACAAGGGCGTTTCTTACCAGGCTCGAATTGCAAGAACATACATGGAAAGGGCGCAGGCAAAGGCGCAGTCGCGTTGATGTCAATTGGGAGTCATTTCTAGAAATGTTTGGCCCGTTCGCGATGAGATCACTTGTGGCTGTGGCAGGGGCTTACTTCCGCGGCGCGGGGTCGAAACTAAGCCCGTTTGAGAGGTATCCCTTCCCATCGCATCGCCATCTTGAAATCTGCATCAGCAGGATATGCATTATATCTGGCATTCATTGTACATTGCGAAGATAGTTCCGAGATTCTGACAAAGTTACTGCGCAGCATTCTTGACCTTACACAACCTCATCACAGCTTCTTCACGCCCTGCGCCAAAATCTTCTCAACCTCATCTTTGTGCTTCGAGAAGTTGTCTACCAGATTATCCCACATCTTTGGGTCATGCTCGTGCTTCTTCTTGCTGTTCCAAGCCCAGTCGGTAATAGTGAACATTCTGGAGCTCTCCATCATGAACGCAATAGCACCCTTAGAGATCTGCATCTCGGGAGGCGGTGCTGCGCTAGCTGCCTTGAACTCTTCATAGGCAACGCCATGGGGTACGAAACCGCATTCAAAGCTGATGCCTCCAGGTTGAAACTCATCGGAGCGGCCTGCATATTCGCCGTAGATCAGACCCATGAGCTCAGACGCTCCATTACGGTGGTAGTATGGCGGTCGGTAGGCTACAATCCAGTCAGCATCTTGAGCACACCCAGAACCTTGATGACTTACTATGTGACGCCACATCCCAGCGCGGACTGAAGATGAGGAAATCCGCAAGCGGTGCCGCCGGATCGCGCGAAGGTGCGGTAATAACGCAGAAGATTGAAGGATCAATATGATCAACAGAGATCGAGCCCACGTTGACAAACTTGGTCAGATCGTACTTGTACGGTACATAGTTTCCATGCCACGCAACGACGTCGAACGGCGAATGTTCTTGCTTGCTGACGAAGAACTTGCCGGCTAGCTTGTACACAATCTCCCAAGATTCTTGTTCGATCTCATACTTTGCAATCGGGTGCAAAAAGTCTCGAGCGTTGGCAAGTCCGTTTGCGCCGAGGGGACCGAGCTCAGGAAGCTGGAACTGTGAGCCCCAGATCTCTGCTTCAATTAGCTTCTCGTCTGCTCGTGTCAAATTGGCTAAACAACCCACCCAGAATGTAGCCGCGTGTTGGTCCCTCGACCTTGACTCTGAATCGCTGTCCTCTCTGGATGACACAAATCTCGCCTGGCTGCACGTACATTGGTCCAAACTCAGTCAGAATATCCAGCGCTCCTTGTTGAGGTACGATCAAGAAGTCGCCATCGGAGTTTACCATTGCCCTCCTGTTCATGCTTGCATTGCAAAGATAAGTATGAACAGCTAAACCCTCGCGAAGCGTAGGATCGCCAGAACCAGCAATGCTCTTGAGACCCGAGGCAAAATCAACGTCGCCATCGGTGGGAGTATCGAACGGAAGCCACGCAAGTTGTGTAGGAGAGACATGAACACGCTTGTTCACAGGGAGGAAGTTTGACTCGGTGTCTTCGTTGTCGGGGAGATCCGTCTAGAGCTTTTGTCAGCAAATGGAACAAGTGACCACCTCGTTGTTTGGCCGCGCTATCCATCTGACCATGCGATCCCAGTTTGGCCCTTGCATGACATGGCCGGAGTTAAGCATCGGTGACGTGAGGTGAATTTCGCAGGGTAACGACATCGGTAGAGGGGCATAGCCGATGTCCAAGAAGGGTTTCTTACAAATCCTTGATGCGCAACGGCCGGACGCGCCCTATATAGATACGCCTAATCAAGGCGTCAGCAACGATATCCATTCTTCTGCGCAGATAGCCAACCTTTTTGTTTAGATGCCTTGGAGCGACGAAAGAAGAACCAGTCATCTGCTCCGCATATAGTCCAAATCTGACACTCCTGGGGTTGTTCTGACCCTTTGGGATAGTTCCTAGGGGATATCGGTCAATCCCTCGTCGCGAGAGTCGGATGTACGCGGTCCTCACCTGGTACTGCTTCTGATTCAAAGCTATTTCCGAACCCAGATTGATACTACAGAAGAAATGTCAGCAGCGAACTTGGACATGGCAAAATGTCAGCTCACCTCATATGGGTCATTCTTCCTGGTACCAAATGAAGGTATAGCTCCATCTTTCTGCGTCTCTGCCCAGTGGAAGATATTCTGGTACTCCTTTGGGTCTTTCAGTGGTTCAGGCATGATGACACTGTATTCGTGACCGTTCAGTCCAAGTGTTGCACAAGATCGGTGTGAGACTAAGATATTAGACCAGATGACTAGGCTCAGGTGTGTTCTCTGCGAGAGTGCAAATTATCTTCGAGAAAGATGTTGGTAGACCACAAAGTCTGGCGTCAAAAGAAGTGCATCGTCTTCACAATGACCCCACACTTGCTGACCCCACAACGTCGCAGGAAGCCGCATCGTGCATGATGGAATGCCCGGTCACCGAGTTCCCCTCCCTACGAATCCTATCGGCACATTGTCCAATCATTGATGATTCCGAAACGAGTTCTCGTCGTCATGCCGGGCTGTGCGCTGCGATGAGGTTGATTTGGGAGTGAGATGCGCAACTGCCGATGAGGGTCGAAGAGGGGTAGCTCCACGGTCCTGCGACGCCGGGAAAGAGCGGACTTCATGCGGCCCCGATTCGCTGATTTTACCCTGCAGTGGAGCAATGGTTTTGCTTGTAAAGAAGTTTGTAAGTACATAGTCAGCAGCGGCAAGGCGGCTGTCTCGGGCTTGGTGATGGTTTACTGATGTTACAAGTTGAGTTGTTGCACAACAGCGACTTTTGAGATACATGAACAAGTTCGCGATACTAGACATGCTACGCCGTATGCACAGTGGCTAGGTAGACAATCCTCCCCAGATTCCTGGCTCATGAGGATTTCGCTTAGCCCCACGATGCGACTCAATCTACGAAGTACCTAGGTACCTGAGTCAGGACTATCGCCAAAACGAGATCATGTTAATATTTCATCAAGTCGACAACAACACAGCGAAAGTTTGAAAGGACGATTTGGTACAGAACACGGCTCGGGAACAACGTGCTTCCTCGCAGTCACAATCTCCCATCGCATTCCTTTCCGCATCTTCCCCGTCTGACCACCCCAAAGAAGATTATTCAACACACCATCAACATATTCGTCCTTCCCGTTCCATCCATCATCACAATACCAGTCCAGAAACGTTTGCGCCACAATGAATCTTGTTCAGCCCTACGCTTGCGAGGGCTTATCGGTCCTGCAACCGGACTTCGCCTATCCTCGACGCGAATATGACCCCCAAGAGCTGAGGAGACCCAACTTACATATCCGCTGTGGTACTCTCCTGATCTTGTATGATATCGCCAGTCGAACTATTTCTTCGTTTGCGAATTCTAGAATCGGGTTGTGGTTGAAGTTGGACCGCGTGGTATAGAGCAGCTGAGCTCGCAGTAGTCCAGATCCAGAAGTACACTACATTCAATCCGGATATTGACAGCGTCAACATTGCGTGGTATACACGACTTTTAGCAGTTGCTCGGTCTAGAATCATGTAGAGTAGATGGAATACTTGATGAATCTTCCGCAACATCGCTCCGGTCCAGTAATCTGTGGCCTTGCCGTCGTGAGGCGAGCGAGGCTTACAGTAGTCAGACGACGCGTCTAATGACCCAATAACCACGTCCTTTACGCGTCCATGGAACTCCTCTTCTCCGTCTCTAGTCAAAGCCACACACTACACCTACTCTTGGTTTGCCTTACGAATATCAACCACTTTTCGCCACAAAAAAAGCCCAAATGACCATCCACTGACAGAACTCCCCTCGATCTCCGCACTGTCCTTACATATGATCCAATACCAAGTACGCGAAACCGTACACCTCCATCGGCATCGAATACCGAGAATCCTGTCATTCCTTTTGCTCTTCTGTTTTCCGAGTGTACCCATGCCGCTAGTTCCAAGCCTCATGCCCGTCGTCGTCTCGGAATGACATCATGTCGTCATTACTATAGTACTTGACTGACCGCTCATTCATGGTGAACCAAACTTTTTTGCTTCTTCTCCTATGTTCTAATTCCAAACGCTCCGAGACCAAACTAGTGCGATCGTGCGAGACAGATGTTAGAAACGGAAACCGCGTTTCCCGCCCAATAAAAAGACGCGAACCCATGTTACTGAGCAGTTCCCTGTCATTCCTTGACCGCCTCGTTCTCGCTTCAGCAAGCAGGTAGAACGCCTCGCGCAATCAAGCGTGCAAGTGCTAAGTACTAGCCTTTGAGATCGGACCAAACTGTTTTAACTACTGTATGCGGAAGAAGAGCAGTGTATGGAAACGCGCCCAGCGGGCCACCCTGCAGCCTGCTTTCGACCCTGTCGCACGTTATTGTGGCTTACATGTAAAATGCGCCGCGCTGTGCGTAAGCGCCTATGCCATGCGCAATCATGTTCGATGCGGGGTATGCCTATCCCTGTCTCGTCACTACACCACTACGACGTCCATCGCGATAACAACGCCCACGCCCACTTCTTTCCCAGCCCAAGACTCGGGTGTATTTTGGTTTGTTTGGTAGGCAGGTATCTGTAGATCACGAGGCTTCATCACATCCCATGGATAAACCTAGACCGCTTCATGGCCTTGTTCGTTAAACTTGCCTCTTGTCTAGTTCCTCGACAGAGAGAGAGAGAGAGAGTGATGAACCTTGGAATGAGAAGAAGCTATATCCTTACACCTCCATTTTAAAATCTTTATTATCGTTCGCGCGATATGCGATCATGTTCGCATGCAAATCATGCACTCTGCAATCACCCGACAGAACACCCAGAGTCATGTTCCAAGCACCATGTCAAATACGCAACCAGCCCAAACCCTAAACCCTAGCCCCGCCACTCACACTATACCCTTATCATAGGAGGTATTGCGCGATGCAACAGCAAGCATACTCGTAGCTCGTTACAACGCGCAAGGTGGTGTCAGAGCCGTTCGCAGCGTTTGCGGTTTGCTGCTTGCGACAGGTCTACCAAGACCGAGGCGGTGCATTCTCGGGAGTTGCGGGACCCTGCCTTTCGCGATGGACGTTCTGTGATCGGCACTGTCTACTGGTCTGCGCCTTTTTTTTTGACGTATGCAGTAGAGGAAGGTTGTATGGTTTTATGGTTTGCTGATCGCGACCCTGCGCTGATCGGTCGGACAAATTGCTCACATTGCACTACTTCGTACGAGAAGTTCATAGTAAAAACAAGAGCCGGTCGGATTAACAATACGGTTTCTTGGTGAGGTAAGGCTAGCTGCTTTGTAGTGAACTCGCCACAAGGTAAGCATGATCAACGCAAACGTCCGAGAGGCTTATTTGATGGGATTGGATAGGCTACGCCGCGTCGCGTGTGAGACAAGAATAATCTCGCGAGAGGCCGAATCAAGTCAGTCACCAACTAGCAACCGGCATGTATGTAACAGGTATATTGGACATGAGAATGAACAGGTTTGGTGGAGTCCAGTCAAGCATGCAGTCGGAGTGTCGGGCTTGGTAATGCAAATGTGGCCATAGGTTAGTGTATGAAACGATGAAACGCTCCTTCAAACAACGCGCTAGATCATCAGTCTACGCCCGTTTCGAGCCCACTCTGAAGCTCGCGACGTTTGGTGTGGCACATCTTCTGTGGCCAACCGATCAATCACAGGGCGGGAAGGAGCGTCGTGGAGAACGCCGTGTGCGTGACTACGCAACGTGATGGGCTCGGAACAAGTGTATCGGAGGCATCCTAGTAGACGATTGTTTTCGCGTCAAGAGACAATCTACTGCTCTGGCAGACATGTCTGATAGTCGATAACATTTCCGACGCGCGTTGCGTTGCGTCGACACTATTTGTATGTACAGCGTTGCATAGCCACAATACCCAACGTAGCATTCGGAATGCGTGAGAGAAGGAGGAGAAGAAGAAGAAGAAGAAGAAACTCAGTCGTTCATCCAAGCAGCCACACGGTTGCCACCAAAACGTGCAGCGAACCGTAGACCAGTCGAGCCCATCGGGAAATACGAGACGATGTACCATAATAGACATACTAGTTGGGCAATAGCCGCAACAAAGGTGAGGATGGTACTGTGGAGCTAATCACGCGGACAACGTCAGTGAACACGAGCTAGTATGGGGACGATAATCGATAAGGGATGGTGTGGGGGGCAGGTGGATGTTCATTTTCGGGCAGCCATGACATGTACAAGGGTTGACATGTGCGCAGGGATCATATGTACTGGGGTAAGAAATTGAACCTACACCTAGGGAAAAGAACAGTGTGAGAGCGATGCTCCCAAAATAAGCAGCTGTGAACGGAAGCCTCGGACCAGAGGTGAGGTGCTGGACTTGGTGGGATTGTCAGCAACGGTGATGATAGTAGTTGGCTTAGGAATGAGGCTTGCTTACGGTATTGAATAGGGCCCATCAGGACACCCCAAGCTGCCAAAAAGAGAACGCTTCCCATGGACCATCTGCAATCAGGCCATGGTTGTTAGCGCTAACGTCCTTCAGGTGATGTGCATACGACTTGGCAAGGTAGAGTCTGGACTAGACATGAAGGCTGTCTGCACCCTGCAGCGCGCCGAACCTTGGACCCGCATGATCGCTACAGAGGGTCCAGTGCCGATCTTACGGTGGCTAGAGAGTCAAGCGACGCAATTCGTCAAGGCCAGCGTCCGCACTCGGTGAGCGGAAACATGCGATCCTTGGAGACATTGCAGATTGCATGAGTTCGCATAACCGTGCCGAAGGACGCATACGGTATGTGCCACTGCCTATCCGCCTTGTATGATCTCACCACTGGCGAGCAGGCTGCATGCAGGGCGTCCTTTTGACTGGATACGAGAGGCAACAGAGACAAGACGAGCTGAGAACTTACAAAATGGCAAACTTGCGTGGCCTGAGCAGGAAGACAGGCGTGAACATCAGGCCAATGCAAGTAGCAAACATTGCCAAGGCAGCGAGCAGCAGGCCGCCAAATACGAGCAGCCGGTCCCACCGACTCACTGCAGGTAGTAGTTAGCGCAATGAACATGAGTCAAAAACAGTGTGAGAGGGCAGTGTGAAATGCGATGGTCCTGCATCCGAGGGTGGTAACGCAGGAACTCCCTTGCTGTCACATTGCCGGTCGTTGCGCGGCCGGGTTGGTGCAAAGGCAGATGTAAGGGCAGATGACACGTTCATGAGAGAAATTATGGATATTCTCCACAACTGGACAGATGCTCATTTCAAGAATGCCATATGATTTCCATGGACGGAAGACAAAGAACCATGGCTGTGCGGTGAGACTAGTCTCAGAACGTCGTCGTCTGATGACATCACGCGCCACAGCTGGAGTCTTGTAGTGCGCAGGCATATAGTGTATGGGGGGGCAGTAGGGTATACGGCAAAGCAAAGTGGAGACGCGAGGAGCGAACGAGACGCGTAAGGAAGGTGGACGTGCAAGGTGAAAGTGTTTTTCCAGGGCATGTAATGGAAGACGTAGACTTACACGCAAACCACCCCTCTTCCTCCTCTCGCCGAGAGGGCGCTGGGAGAGGGGCGCCTGGGTTGGTCTCTGTTATGGGGAGTCTGACATAGCCACCCTCGCCGAAGGGGTTCAGGTTCTGTATGCGGCCCAGGAATGAGGGCGGCGCGGTGTTGACGGGCGCGGGTTCCTCTCTCCTGCTCCAGCCGAGAGAGTTCATCGAGTCGCGAAACGAAGCGGAGGCCATGGTGAGGTCAAGTGGAAGCTTGTCGAGCCTTGTAAGCCGCAGCAGGCGACACAAAGATATGCGGGCCCAGGTAGCTGCCGTTGACCCTTGTCTAGCAGTGGATACAGCTGCCTAGTGTCGATACAGGATGTGGCTGTCCACAGCAGCGGTTTGTTCGATTCGGTGCAACTGCAACTACTGCGACAACGGACCGGAGGATTTCGTGCAGATGATCTGCCTGCGGTGTAGGAGGCAGACGGCCAATGGCGGGTAGCGGACAGGCGTCTCAGATACGACGACGGATGGGCGAGGCTTGTGACGAGGCCGCAAAGGGTGCGGTGGGTGCGATGGCGACGCGAAAGGTGTAGCGGAAAGTGCGATGGGCTGGGGGCAGCACTGTGGCGGCGCCGATTGGCTGGCGCGGGGTACAGAGCAGCAAGGAACTCTCCGGCTGCTGGGTAGAGAGGGTTGGGCTGGTCGGTAGTATAGACTCAGTTCACATCGGTGATGGAGGGTGAAGGCAGTCGGTTAGCGTCCTCTCGGTCCTCTAGCGACTAGCGCGGGATCGTCTCCCGCTGCGACATGGCTAGTCGACGCTTTCAGGTAGACGCACACACACTCTCTCTCGGACACTTCGGCCAAGCCAGTCTAGCATGTCTCCCTGGACCTCGAGAATGAATGACGCTTGATACTGAGCCCGACTGTCCTTTAGTGAGTCACATTGCGCGCCCTCACCCAGCTTCGCTCCAAAACCGGGTAGCTGAGACATGATTACTTCGTCGTGACCAAAAGAGGCCACAC